TTTGGTACCCTGCTGCCTTGCTGTTTATCTAAACAAGCCAGCAAAATATCAAAAGGCCCTTTACAATCTTCATTAGCTAAATTTAGAAACAGTTAAATCTCCTGTTGCAATGCCGTGTATTGAAATTTCCGCTGAAAACCTTACTAACATATTCTCAATCGGCCGATAGGGTAACGCAACACCACTGATGCTCAAGAGTCACGTACGCGTCAGTCACACAATCCACCAAACTCTCGCATCGTGAACAAAGGCAAAAGATTAAAACTGGATGGAAATTTATTAACGAAACATTCCATACAAAACGTAATTGTAAATCATTTCTTGGGCCGGTCCTTTTTCATAGAAAGCCTTCGTGTTTTGCTTAATTGCGAGCTGAAACTTTTCCGATCCGAACGTTTAGTCCCAAGAAAAAATCCTATCTTACACGTCCTATTTTTTCGGCTTGAAAAACTCTCTCAATCGGTCTTACTTTGGTCCCCTCTGTATTATGCCTTGTCTTTAGTGCCCTGTCTTCTTAGTATTGCCTCCAGTGTCTTGTCTTTGCTTTCATCTTCCCTTAGTCGTATGGTCAGAAAACCTGAAAGAAAGAAAGAAAAATGTTTAATATATCAGTCATAGTAAAGCTTCGAGTTGTTTCTCTTTTAATTTTTTTAACTACGTTAAGCTTTCCTCATCCTATCCCATGAACCTTGTCTAGATATTCTCATCACCTGTTTGTTGACAATGTGCAGATTTTGCAGGGAGAAATTAGATTTAAATCACATTTTTTAAGCAAATAGATCAGAAAATCTCCATTAGCTAAATCAACATTATTTGCAAAATCGATTTAAATAGTAATTGTTACAAGATACTCATTGAATTTCGTTGTTCTTTAAACAGAGAGGAATTTAGTTAAATTTGCAGACTGGCTAGACCAGAGCACTGGTTTCGAACCCGAAAATTGAAACGCTTTAAAAACAAATTAACGATAAAAATATTTCATTCAAGAATGGTCTTTTTGGTTGTAGCTGTTGTTGCTGTTGTTGCTGTTTAATAAATTTGTAGATTTTGTAAACAGAAGCCCAGGTGAAGATTAACAGGACTAAGCAACAGTTACCATTGTAAACCTTCTTCTTTGGTTCCGCTAAATTTGCAATTTACGTACTGTACTAGGTTCAGGTTATGTAAACTTAGGACGAGAGTTCTTTCGAACAGGAGGAAAAAAAATATACTTTTGCTCGGCCGACCCAGTAAAACAAACAATCTTTTGATGATAACATGAACATCTTTAACTATAAGAAGTCTCAGTTAAATTTTCGAGGACATTTCAACGATTTGCAGCTGCTCTAATTTTGTCTAATTCGATAAAGAATAAACAGTTCACTTTTTGAATAAACAGAATAAACTCTGCGACTATTTGTCAACCAGTTTCTCTTTCACCATACAAAAAAATCGTTCATGTCTTTTGTCTCACTTAGGACCAAGAAAATTTCTTCCTTCTTCTATTTTAAAAAGAAAGCTATTTTTGTTTTTGATCAGAACATCTAAGTTCTAAGGATTTAAAGAAAGCTCTGCTTTTTAGCTGATTTCACGGGCGTAACCAGTATGAGGCAAACCAAGACACTTGCCTCGATCAGATTTTTTGTTTTTGTTTTTGTTGTTGTTGTTGTTGTTGTTGTTTTTTGCCTTGTTGTAATATTAGCGTTTAACTTTGCTTTATAGGGCGGTTTTCATTTGAGTGTCGAAAAGTAACTGATTTTGTATTAAGTAGGCCACACGATTGGCTTAAAAAACTCGTGCTACTTTTTCAACCAGCCAGAAGTAAAACCAAAACCAATCGTGACGCGTTCGCACACTTTTTCCCGCGCTTCGTGTCAGAGCGGCTACAGGTAATTACTTCGAGTTTTGATCGGTTCAGTTTATTGCCTGTGTCCCTTTTGATCGGCCAGAATGGTTACTTTGGTTTTGGGTTTACGACATTCAATTAAAAACTGCTCTATGTTTATATCTCTATTTAATAAGTTACTTTTGCTGTATATTTAATACACATGACCGTTATTTTTATTAATCGTATTTGTATAGATAGCTGCTTAATTTTTTCTAGCCACATGGTTGTTATGGGCAGCTAATGCCATATTTGTGAGCTTCATATTAATGTATCCTTCTTTCCTTTTTTTTTTTTGAGCAAATAAGTGTTGTTGTTGTTGTTGTTATTTTCTTTTTGAATGAAGGAAGTGAAACACTGCTAAATACCTAGGAAGAGAATTAATCCGTAAACTTTGCCTCAGTCATATATTTTTTTTTTCTGTGTCTAGATAGATGTCTAGATAGATAAAGTTATTTCTCAGTTAATCTGTTAGTCGTGAGAAGGGTGCTGAGATCAAAACATGATTCATCGGTAAAATTTGGTAAAAACTGTCGATAAAGATACTGACATTAAAACATAAGATTTGTCATTTATAATTATCTGTAGACATCTGATCTACAAGTCATCAGAAAAAATGTTAAAACTCGGAGCAATCTGTAAGCAATTACTTTCAAGCCATCTGTGAGCTAAAGGTATCTGTCCCAGAAAACGTACAGCACAAGTTTCATTTTGTATTTATCTGTCAGTTTATCAGTAACGATGTTGAAATCAAAACATATTATTCATCCGTGAAATTTGGAGTAATCTGTTTGCTGCCAATAAGAATGTTGAGTTCGAAACATACTTTGAAGTAAAATTTGGAATTATCTCCGGCCAGTTATCGTTTATGATCTCGAGAAGAAAAAAATTATCTGTTACTGAAAATTTGAAATCATGCCGAGTTGTCAGTAACGATGCTGAAATCAAAACGGGATTTTGTCTTTTAAAATTTGGAATCATCTGTCAGTTGTCAGTAAGAACATTGAGATCAAAACATGATTTTTACAGTTCCCGAACAGTTGTTACGCCAGATGGTCGCCATGACGATGCGTTCAGGTACGTAGCAACAACCGTGCCTCTTTAAATTTGTTACTCGGTTTTAGATTACAAAAAATTAACTGACCTGCCATAGATACTTTTGACTCCACCATTGATCTTTCACTACTTCAATGCCATGACTATATGGGCGTCAACTTTATCTGAAAAGAGATACAAAAGTTTATTTAATTTGTTGAACAACTTGCTAGTGGCTCTAGTTACGTTTTTTTTTCGGAAACCCTTGATCCTTTGGTCGCCAAACATGACAACACGCCAGTTAACAACCCAGACTTGTGTTTTTTTTTTGATAGCTTAGCTGAAGTATGTGCCGTTGCCATGGCAACATATATAAATATAAACAAGCTAATCAGTTTTTGTTTATTTGCAGAAAATCTAGTAGTTATGTTCGGCCATTTTAACATAACGTGACTAAACGACATTTGCTTTTTTAGTGCAAAGAAAAAAATTCACAGCAAAAATATGGATTTTGACTGTAACAAATAAACAAACAAAAGGCCAGTTACTTTTTGGAACCTTATTCCAGGTAAAGTGAAACATCAACTGACCCTGCATCGTAGATGTCTTTGACTCCACCACTGATCTTTCACTGTAGCGATGTCATCCGTCTCCGTAATAGATGTCTACCTGCCGTCAAATACAAAAGACATCTCGATGAACAAAATTATTAATAGTAATAATCTCCTTAGGTAACGCAAAACGTACAGCAAAACATACCGCGTAACGTAACGCAAACTAAAAGCAATGCTCTTATTGGGCAAAGAAATTAGAAACAAGAACAGGTTATTTGCCAAACCTGGTTACTCTTCTCTGTATTGTATATGTATATGACTAGCTATATAACTCCATTCAAAATTTAGGAAAACATGAACTGACCTGCTGGAGATGTATATAGGTCCATCTTAGATCTTCCTCTGTTCTAATTCTTCACTTGATGAGCAAGTCTGCCTGAATAACACAAAATACGATTTCATGAGCAAATTATAACTGGTTATGGTTTCGTTTCAGAGTAACATTAAGCAACAAAAAGTGATGCCAGTACATAAATAAATAATACATCAATCACAATATTTAGAGAGCAAGCCACATCAGCCTTAGACTTATAGGAGAATAGGGATTTAGACACGAGCAGGTCCCTCTTAACCCCATTGTAGATCATTGTACACCGTACGCACTTTCTAACTCCATGCAAGAGTAAGGGAAACGTGAACTGACCTGCCATAGCATTATTTTACTCCATCAATGATCTATCACTTTTCCAGTGTCTTCATCTTTGGTTTCATTGCCTGATAAGAAGTACAAATTAAAAGACAATATGATCTTATCGTAAGGAAACATGACGAATTTGACAAACATTATGAAGGAGAAAAGCTGCAAAATATGAACCAAAGCTGTATCGGGAACCGTTTCAATTCAGTCCTTCTCCTTGTTCGTTATTGATAACTACTAAGTATTTACATCTCAGCATCAGTATAAAATTAGTTGTGCTGTACCGGCATGAATTGTTTATCCATTTTAGATAAATAAACGTATCGACTTTTTTGAAGTTATTTTAACGGTCTGACGTAAAATGAGTAATAAAGCGTAAAGTTTCCTACACATACCATGAGCAAGTCAAAAGTATTTGTGAGCTCACTTCGCAACTTGAGCTCGCTTGCCGTTTTCCGGCTCTCAAGTACCACATACGATCCACTTTCGTT